TGTTTACCAGCGAAAGATTAATTTTCTAGAGTTTTCTGATGCAGATCAATGCGTTATAACTATCCTATAGGTTTTACTTTATGTGCCCTTTTAAAGTGGTTGGCTCACCACGCAGCTGAATATTTCATCATGGCGAGGAGAAATTCTACCCAAAATTTCAATTTTCGAAGGATAAAACAAAACAAACTTATTAGCAGGTGGAAGTCAATACTTTCAATAACATAACTTGAAGCATTTTATTTCGAAGTATCGCGGCAATTAAGGTTTCTTTCATTATACAAAGCTGACAAATAAATGCCGAACATATTCCTCGCAATGAGTCATAATAGAATGTAATGAAAAACGGGTAATCTATTGACTTGGGACGACTATTATACAGTCGTGAACGATCAATGCGTAATTTGTTATTTCATCATGATAGCGATCCAGTTCAAGCTTTTTCTTGAGTCGTTTTTCTTGAATCCCCTGCAAACTCACTCTTATTCAAGGAATCTCTTTCTCACTGTTTGAATGTTTCTGTTTCATTGGTGAGTGGAATTCCTATTTATGGTCCCTGATCAATTTCTAGTATTTCACTTTTTTAGTGTCATTCCCTCGAAACCATTAAAAGTAAAATGCACGAGCAAACTGTTAGCACCTGGTAACCATTGCAAATATTCTATAAAATGACACGATGATTAACTTGAAATATTAATTTTAGGATACACAAAACAAGTTTACCGCCTCCCAGTTAGCTCAAGGGATAGAGCGCTGGACTGCTGTGCGGGAGGTCGAGGGTTCGAGCCCCCGGCCGGGACAACACTCAAGGTCTTAAAACAATTGAGAAGAATATGCTACCTTTCTATATTAAGAAATGGTTAGATACTGTAGTCTTCTCGGATGGGACGAATAAATGGAGGTCCCGTCTCCTGCAGGGTTAGGGGTAGGAGACGTTAATTTCCCACGCACGAGATTACTGTGTGATGGATGTCCTCCCCTGGGGTGGTTGTTGGGTGGGATTTGGCCCTGAAAAGCCCTCATTGGGAGTGGTCGATTAGCATACATATGTATACATGTATGTATGTATGTATGTATGTAAGTTTTGTTAAAACTCAACAGGCTATGAGTACGCCTATTCACAGACCATTAAAATGTGTGTTTTCGAACACTTTTATAATGAAATGACACGATTTTTAACACTGATACATCCAAGCACAATTCCAATTTCCAAAACAATTTTCATCATGAATGTAAGAAATGTTTTCCAGTTCAAATATTCTTAATGATGTGTTTGAAGATACAACAATTATGGTTATTTGGTTAATTCGATCACTTTTAACGTGACTCTAGTTTCTACTGTGTTTTAGTTCTTAGAAGTACTATCCACATGATATAATCGTCTGTGTTTGAATTCCTGATATTTTTAAAAATCGTCTTCTGAACTATGTTGAAATGACTCAGATGCTTCAATCTCTGGGGTCTCTTCGATAAAAGCAGCCAAGCAGACTGAGAGACCAAAACTATGATCTGTTGACGATCAGCATTTTGAACTGCTGAACAGGAAGAAGTACTGTGGCGTTTATGTTCATCAAGTACTAGACGGGTTTGTTCGTAACTGTAGTTACAGATATCCAACTCTCCCTAGAGAATAGTACGACACGAATTTGAACCACTGATACCCCAAGAACAAAGCTAACCAAGCACGAGAAAACGTGGTCATTCAAAAGGTAAGAAATATCTTTTTAAGCTACGTATCGATATCACTTTGACCGGTTGCAATGACTGAAGCCAGCATTTGAGAACAGCGTCAATAAAAATACTGAGAATCCAATATGGGCGGCCGTCACCACCAAATATACAAGGATTTCAAATAAATCAGCAAATAAAAAGATGGTTTAAGGATCAGCAGCGGGATTGCATAGCTGATAAAGGAATGGCATGGCCAACTTATAGACAGTTTAGTTTTTCTTCATGAAACAGAACACCCTAAACATGAATAGTTTAGCCAAATGATAAACGGTCTAGTCGCCAAAATCACAGCTTATGATAAAATAATATTCAGTTGAATAATATGTAATTTCTTATATTTTGTCATTTTTAAACTCAAATTAAACATATCTTTGATACGCATTTTCGCAAAATATCGATATTTTAAACTTTGTAAATTACCTTGTCTTTCTTCACTAAAGGAGCGTAGTAGGAAATAAATGAGTTATTTTCAAAATATGACAATTCCAACTCGGCTCCGAGTCGAGGGGATTAAAAGAAAGTAATTAATCATTCATCCCTTGACCTCAGTGTTAATATATAGAAAATGGCCTATTTCACCCTTCGCCGCCGGCTCATTTGTTTTATTTGTTTGATTTCCCTGAAATTTTGCAGTTTGTTTTCTAATTCGGCAATTCTCAGCAGTTTCATTTGATTCAACCAGTTAGAATTATGACAACAGTATGAAAGGGAATGAGCAAATTTTACTAACTGTTTAATGTTGCCAGACGAAGAAAGTTTTTTAGCATCTTTATTTACACCAGCCATCAGGAAAATGTTATCCAAAACAAAGGACGCGTACGTCTTGTACTGGACGCAAACAAAGTCTTAAAGAAAGTCAAAGCAATTCAGGCTCTTAACTCGGACTCTAGTAAACTAGAGTAGGAGAATTTTAAAAGACATTAATTATCTCTTTTAAAACGAATGTTGCAAAATATACTTGACGGAAAATTTTCCATACTAGAAAAAAGTTCCATTTTCAACTGTTGCTGTATGAATTTGATCAGAATGTACAGTTTTGTTGCTTGATATAACACCCTCCTTTTTATTCTCTTTATACTCCTATTGCCAATAACTTTTAGGAAAATGACATGTAGCGACATGTTCGTGATAAGCCGGTGAAAACTGCTTATTTGGTCTATTTAGGCTACTATTTCTATCACCTCCATTGCTCACTTACACTCATTTGAAGTTTAATCAGACAGTCGATCACAAGCGGTTCAGTTGAAAATATGTGGTGGAAATCCTCATGTTACATCCTTCTGGCCTTCTTGCTGGCCAGCGTATTTGCCCAAGAGTGCAGAGAAGAAAGGAGCATCAAAGAAAAGGCGCTGCGTGGATTCATCTTCAAAAAACTTTTGGTTACATCCTTTGATCAATGTAATATCAACTGTGAAAAGGAAGTTACGTGTCAGAGCTTTAATTTCGTTACTGGAGAACACTCTTGCGTCTTAAAAAATTGCGAACTGAACAACCGGACCAAGGAGGCAAGACCTGAGAATTTCTGTTCAGATCCTGATAGGCTTTACATTCGGCGCCTAAACGGCCGGGGTATGTAAAAATATTAAGAGCCATAATTGGATCCAATTATGGCTCTTGAAAATATCTAAATCCACCTATTTTAAATGTTCATAAACCATTTCTGTGGTTGACAAAATAGACAACATACTCGTGTGGAAATGAGTGCTGATTAAAAACATGTTTAAAAACCTACACGTTTTGAAATCACTTTCTTTGACAGCTTCCTTGGGATCCACCACAGAGCTGCCTGCAGAGTCATGTCGGGAAATAAAGGCGAGTGAAGGCAAAGACGCCATCAGCGGCAAGTATTGGTTAGATCCAACTAGAAGTGGAAAGGCTGTTTTGGTTCACTGCAACATGGAAGGTTTTTTTACCCAGTTTGATTGATTTATAATTAACTCCTTTTAATATTTATCATCTACGTGACTTTGTGTTTCAGTTCGAATATAATCACTATTATCGTTCAGTTTAACTTTCTTTTATTGCCAAAGTGCAGTGTTGATTCGACAATTTGCCTCATTTATTCACAGCCACAAATTGTGCTGACATCTACGAAGATGGGAAAAGAAGAGACGGTGTGTACACCATTATACCTGATGATTTGCTAGCCTTTCGTGTATTTTGTGATCAAACAACAGCTGGTGGAGGGTGGACAGTGTTCCAGAAGAGAGTGAACGGCTCGGTGGATTTCTATCGCAACTGGACCGACTATAAACACGGTTTTGGTGACTTAAATAGCGAATTCTGGCTCGGACTGGACAAGGTTTACCGCTTGACCTCTGATAAAAACAACACGCTGCGTGTAGACTTGGAGGACTTTGAAGGGAATACTCGATATGCTGAGTACGAAATGTTTGGTGTCATGGATGAGAATGACAAGTACAAGCTGATTCTTGGTTCTTACTCAGGTGAAACAGTAATTTTCCCTTCATCTTTTCCTTCCCCCCTCCCCTTGTGTTGAATTCCTAAATGTATTAACTTTCCTAAATGTACTAACTTTCCTAAATGTATTAACTTTCCTAAATGTAATAAAGTCCTAAATGTAATAACACTTGGTCCTAAATGTAATAAAGTCCTTAATGTAATAACATTTGGTCCTAACTGTAATAAAGTCCTAAATGTGATAACATTTGGTCCTAAATGTAATAAGTCTCTAATGCAATCGTTCGAGTGCACTAATGTATTGTAGTTATAGCGGACATCCACATTTAACAAGACTAACCACCATTTAGATGCATCGTTCTTGACGGAACAAGAAAGATCGCTACCTGTTGTCGCTTTCTGATCAATGTCCCTTGTTCGTCCCTTTTTAAACAGTCACAACAGAAAAGAGAAAGCAAATACCTTCACCAAATACCGAGACGATGGCTCATCGCGAAAAACAAGAACATTTTTCAACCTTTTTGCACAGTAAAAGAAATATCTCTCAAAGTCTAACTTAAAGTAGAGGCAAAGGGTTCCAGTTAAGACCATTTAATGAGTTTTAAGGCTAAGGAAAGTTCATATACTGCGGGACTTTACAAAAGCCTTTCGCTGCCAATATTCCTGCGTCATCACTTTCGATTTCTTCCCACATAATGTCCACCACAGCTTGTGGTATATTTTGGAAGACGCTAAGGAGAAATTAAAATACAATGTTCTATGTATTGAGAAGAAAATGCAAAGAATACACCTTTATCTGCTGTCGATTAACGGGTTGTACCCCTGAATATAGGCAATGTTGAAGTTTATGTAAATTCTGTTTGGAAACAGTTTCCGCTTCAGTTCTTTCACACGTCCTAGATCGTTCCTAGTCTGAATGGGTAAACAGCACTAGTGGTAATATTAAATTAACAACATCGTTCGTTTACAACTGCTACAGTGCTTCCGCAAATTCGGATTTGTCTTGTCAAAAATTTCTTTAGGATCCCAAGGTTAAGAGTTTCCAGGTTTCATGCGATGATTCTTCAACAACTAGCCGCAGGTTTTTGTATTTTAAATCTGCATTAGTAAATGGTCTGACAAATAATTTCTTCGATTCTCGTCCGTCTCGTCTCCATGTCTAAATGTAACTGTGGGGGTTTTCAGTGAAACGTGAATTGGTTTTTTTAATTGCCGTGACTCATGTTTGTAAAAAGTTAAAAGCCGTGAACTGTGAATGATATGCCAGTCGCGATACGTGAAACAAAGATGCTATTTTCCGTTATCCGTTATTACTAAAAAGAAAACACATTTTTTTCCGTGAAAAATTACTTGCCGAAAATATAAATTCTCTTGACCAAGCCTGTTCGGTCAAGATGGCCGGATTGGTCAGCGTTCTATTGTTTTGGGATCTGTCAATTTGATGCCGAAAGGACATCAGGATGAAGATTTGTAGCCGATGCTTCTCGGCCTACGTCTCAAGCAAAAAAAAAAACCTTGATTAAAATCAGCGACAGCCCACAATACGCCATGAATTTTTGTCAGAGGATTCTCTAGTGCAACAGTTGTCACTTAAACATCTCAATGTGGATGCACAAGCACAGTTAAACTATTGCATTGGAGCCTTATTACATTTAGGACCAAATGTTATCACATTTAGGACGAAATGTTTTTACATTAAGGACTTTACTACATTTAGGACCAAGTTGTTATTACATTTAGGACTTAATTACATTTAGGACCGAGTGTTATTACATTCAGGACTTTATTACATTTAGGACCGAGTGTTATCACATTAAGGACTTAATTACATTTAGGACCGAGTGTTATTACATTTATGACTTTATTACATTTAGGACCGAATGTTATTACATTAAGGACTTATTTACATTTAGGACCAAGTGTTATTACATTTATGACTTTATTACATTTAGGACCGAGTGTTATTACATTTAGGACTTTATTAAGTTTAGGACCGAGTGTTATTACAATTAGGACTTAGTTACATTTAGGAAAGTTATTACATTTAGGACTTCAACACCCTCCACCCAAGTTGATTAGTGTAAAGACGATTGCATCCATAGCGGTCGAAGAAGAAAAATCGAAAT